GTGACAATCGATTGGCTAGTCACCAGGGACATCGAAGAAATCCACCAAAATCGCCTGGAATTCGAGAATCACGTCAGAGAGTTGACGAAGCAATTGCAGCTCTCCCGCGATGGCACCACGGCGAACGTCGATCATAGGGCCGACAACATGTTAGCGGTGTTGTCCACGGACAATTTCGACCTCAGCGAATTGCTCAATTCGGCGGCGCAGTGGCCGGATCTCGGAGAGTTCAACTTCATCATGGGAGAGCAGGTTTCGATGATGGACACGGCACTCGTCCCTGCTGCTGGCGACACCGTAGAATAAGTGCTTCAGTAGCAACACCAATCTAACCATCCCATGGCGTGGGGGTTGTTATCATGGCATCAAGGCCCTGCTCAGTGAAACCCCCGCGCCGATGGGCAATGTGTGTATTGAGGGAGATAGTTGATGTTGTAACCGTCCGAGAAGGCGGAATGGCTGCATTGTTGGGGGTTGTACATAACTACATTTCGGAAAATCCCGACCCCTGGAGCGCGAGCGATAATCATCTGTCAAGTCGGCATATCCCGATTCAGCACACGCGAGATTTCGAAACAGGACCTTGGCCAGATCTTAGACCAATGAAAGGTACAAATGACCTCTGGTTGAAGCGAGCCAGGCAGGAAGGTTGAACCTCGAAAAGCTTCGTAAGGATGAAGTCTGCAAATTCTTTCCTCTTACCAGTGAATACTTAGCTTCTGATGCCGAAGTATTAAGTGTCTCATACAGGCAAAGCTACCAGGTCAAGTATATTCTGTTGCCTTGTAACTGCGCCAACCGACTGCTTCACCTTCTTCATCACCCTTCTCCTATCTTTAGAAAAGCGTTCTGTACGGTTGTGCCATATATGGCTCCTGTGATCACACTTTACACAGCCCATCACTGCCCGTTTGCGCATCGCGTTCAGATTGCGCTGCGTGAACTGGGTCTGGAATTCGAGACACACCTCGTCGACATCACCATCCCTCGCACCGCTGAATATCTTGCCGTCAGCCCCAGTAGGATGGTCCCCGCCCTCGCCCACGACGGCCGTGTGCTGACCGAGTCTGCTCTCATCTCTCAATTCCTCGCGGACTCCTACCCTGGCCACCTCCTGAAGGCGAGCACCGACTCGGCTGGCGCCTTGCAGCGGTTCCAAATCGGGTACTTTGTGGATACATACTTTGGCAAGGCCCATCCGCTCTTCGACTCGACCGTTTTCTCGAATGGCGCCGACGCCAAGACGGCAACGGCGAGCAAGTACATCGACGCTGTTGTGAGGCACGTCGAGCCCCTCCTCGCAGACGCCGCACCGTTCTTTGGAGGCTCCAACCGCCTGACATTAGCAGAGGTAATTTTCCACGCCACCACGGTTCGCTTGGATGAAAAACTTATTGAACCGGCTTTAGGTTCTGACCGGCCCTTTCCTTCTTCGAGTTCTGACGCTGCCGAACTATGAGCAATTGGTGCCGAGCTTTGTCCCGAAAGCGCTCGAGGATGGGGCGCCAAATTTCTGGACGTGGACTCGAGCCGTCGCAGCTGAGAAGTCAGTGACTGCAGCGTGGGATGAAGAGCTGGTGGTTAGACGCACGCTTGAGCGGATCGACAAGATGAGGACTGCGGCGTGACGATGGCGCAATCGAAATATGAGGTGAGGCGTACGAGGATTGAAAGGTTAGGCGGTGCATGGATGTCTTCCTGCAGACGTGTCATGCTCTTGAAATGTGAGCTCGAGCTCAAATAGTGATCACACAGCACAGAAAGATGGACGTTCTGGCAAAGGAATGTTCAATCGATGACGGAGATGCAGTGCTGTCGGGTGTATTGAATAGATCAGCGCCGTTGGTGGTACGTGCCCACTATCTTGAGTTATTTAACCTTTTTCGGGTATACTAATAGATGGAGGGACTAGCAGTGACATATTTCGAAATTCTTTGTAGCTACGATGAACCAGTTCACTTGGGCAGTGTTAGGAGTTGAGAATATTCCGGGGAATAAGTCTTTCTCATCGCTTCTTGTTTACTATACTGGCATCCAAGACCAAATCATGGAGAAGAATACTAGAATCCGCAAGCTTCTCGGTGGGCCATTTGGAATATTCTGCAAGACGCCAAGGGATTCCGGATCGCTTTTCGATAACTGCCTCCGACAGGGCCGAGAGATCTATGCCGAACCATTGACTGACGTTAGCGTACGATGGCAGTTTCTGAAAGTGCCTGTTTCAGACAACACTACCGGATAGCTACGCCTTGTGGCTGCCGAGGAGCCGAAGTATTGCGACTGCTACCGGCGTACAACCGTTTATTTCAAGGTTGCAGTGTGGAATCTAGACCACTGTTTATCTGGCGGGAGCCGAGTATGCTTCTTCGACGACAGCGAAGCCATGTACCCCAATATGCCTCACACTAACCGAAGGTGATAGGCCAATATGGGTCGTACAGCCATTATCACCTTTTATTGACAGGTCGCAATGATATAAGCCAAATTCCGTTTGCAACAACCGTTGTCGCACTTCTTTTGACACGCTCGTTTATTTTGCACGTGAGCAAGGTACAGCGTTACTACTTACCGTCGCCCTCCAGTGCAGATTAAGACATGGCGCCTTCAGAGCCGGATGAAGGCTTTCCCGCAACTGATCAGTGCGAGCCGCTTTACGACGACCGCGGATACATGATCCAAAATGCCAGGGGCTATAGGCCATACCAAGGAAATTACGCCAAAGGGCGAAAGATGCGGATTATTCATATCGGAGCTGGGGCTTCAGGGATCAACTTCGCGAAGTTCACCGAAGATCGGCTCCAGAATGTCGAGCTACAGATATATGAAAAAAACCACGACGTCGGAGGCACATGGTTGGAGAATAGGTACGAACATGCATCGTGAGCCCGCGCACGATTGGGTCCAACGCTCTAATACTTTCAAGGCATCCCGGTTGCGCCTGTGACATTCCGAGCGCAACCTATCAGTTCACGTGGGCGCGAAACCCGGCCTGGTCTCAGTTCTACTCGGGAGCGCCTGAGATCTGGCAATATTTGAAGGACATTGTGGACAAGTACGATTTCACCAAATACATGAAGTTCCACCACAAGATCATCCGTGCGCTGTGGAATGGTGACCGGGGGGTTTGGGACATTACCATTCAGAGGGCAGATGGGACAGAGTTTATGGACTGGTGCCACATTTTGATCAATGGAAGTGGCGTTCTAAAGTACCGACCGGTCTTTCAACCCTCCATCCGTCAATCTTGACTAAACTCGCTCACAGTGACTGGAAGTGGCCAGATATCAAGGGCCTAGACACCTTCAAAGGACAGATCACTCACAGCGCTGCCTACGACAGCTCCATCAGCCTCAAAGACAAGCGAGTAGCCGTCATCGGGATGGGGAGCAGTGGTGTCCAGATCACAGCAGCCATCGCACCCGAGGTCAGGCAGTTGTATACCTGGGTGAGGTCGCCAACTTGGATCACGACTGGGTTTGCTCAAAAGTTTGCCGGAGTCGAGGGCACCAACTTTGACTGTGAGTCCGCCAGTGCACCTCCTTCGCCCTTCGTCCATTACACTCACCCATCTGGAAGACACCGAAGACCAAAAGAGGCGATTCGCCGACGAACCGGAATTCCTGCTGAAGTACTCGAAAATGATCGAGTCGGAGCTGAACCTGCGCTTCAAAATGCTGTTCAAAAACACCCCCGAAGCCGCCGAGGCCAAAGAGGTAAACCTTGCCATTCGGAAGGGGCTTCTTACAGGAGCTGATATTTGTAGTTTGCACTCCGGCATATGACTGACAGGCTTGGATCTCGCCATCCCGAACTGGTCGACGCTTTGATACCCAAGACTTTTGGAGTGGGCTGCAGGCGCGCGACGGTAATGTTTCTCCTGACCTTTGACGAGCGACCCCGGCGCTAAGACCAGTTCTTCGAAGCCTGGCAATGGGTTCCTCGAGGCGCTCACCCAGGAGCATGTGAAAGTTTTCACGTCCGAAATGCAGGGAATTACGCCCGCGGGATTCATCGACGATCAAGGAACGCACCACGAGGTTGACGTTATCATCTGCGCGACAGGGTAACATCTCCATAGCCGTCATTGAGTCGATTTTACTACTGACTCGCGTTCAGCTTCACCACGTCATGGGTTCCGAGATTCCCAATCGAAGCCAACGGCCACAGCGTGGGGAAGATGTTTGCGAAAGAGCCGATCTCCTATCTCTCCTTGGGTGTTCCTCACAGTATGAGCGCGACTCTACAAAGGTCAGACCATCCGACTAATACAGACTCAGTGCCCAACTATTATTGGATCAACGGCGCCTACGGGCCTCTCGGTCACGGCTCCATCCTCCCGTTGATCGAAGTCCTCCACGCCAACATCGTCCAGTGCATCCAACACATGCAGAAATTCCGCATCCAAAGCCTCACGCCCAAAATCGAGGTTTGCCAAAAGTTCAAGGAACACGCGGCGCTCTTTCTGGACCGGACCGTCTGGACGTCGGGGTGTGTGAGCTGGTACAAACAAGGGAGGGCGGATGGGCCGCTGGCGATGTTTCCCGGTTCCCGGCTCGTCTTCGTGGATTTGATGTCGCAGCCCCGGTTCGAGGATTATGAGATCCAGTACATCAATGACAAGAACCTTTTCGACTTCCTCGGCAGCGGGTTTGCCGAGAGAGAATTCGATGGACGGGACTTGTCGCACTATCTCGGCTTGTTGAACGGACAGGATCGGCGTCTTGATCTCGAATTAGAGACGATTTGTCGAGAGTTTGGAGATCTGATCCACAATAAGTAGGGGCTGGCCGAGTGAAAGTGCGAAGATTGTTTGTGTTTCGGGCGAGACTTGGACAAGAGCAAACTATAGATATCATCACTGGGTTTCAGGATAAATGCCAGGCCTTCCTTGACGTCGGAATGCCCTGGGTTTAGGGATAACAAACGTTTCACGACCTGGCACATGCTCTCTGTGTTTGAGAAGCTCTTCTTGGTCGTAAAGTCTATTGAGAAAAGACCATGTCGGTGTGGAGCTGCTTCGAGAGTCTAGGGCACTCGCCCACTCCCACCATCGCCACCATTGTACGGCGAGACCCCAAACCAAGACTCGATGTTGGACCAGTCTGGTTCTGGGGCGATAGTGTAGAGGTTGGAAAACATGGAGTCCCAGTTATCCGGCCCAAGATCTTGACTGGCCGCATCCACGGCCACGGCGCCGGAAGAGACGCGCGAGATCTGATCGTTGAAGTGCGAGTTCATCATGGGCTTGGTCGTCTCCAGGACGTGCTGGAACAATTTGAGCGTCGCGCTGGTCGCGGGCCAGTAGCGCGTCAGCTCGTTCATGGCCGGGAAACAGCCCTCCAGTCGGTCCTGGGCCTGGAGCGCCAGCAGCGACGAGTTCTGCGCAATGGCCCCGCGCATTTCCCGGATGAATTGGATGGCCGCGGCCATGACCGCGGTCGAGGCGGTGAAGTAACAGCGCCGGATGGTACCGGACTGGATCATGGACGACAGGATGCCCACCAAGGTCTCGGCGGCGCTCTCGCACAGTTTGGAGGAATGGGTCAGGGCCGCGACGGGCGACCTGGCCTCTTGGATGACCGTCCGGTGGAGGTGCAGGAGAGCACTGTTGTAATGGAGCCGCAGGTGCAGCGTGTAGAAGTCGTTCCCTGGCGGGAGGGTCCTGATCCACGTGGCCAGCCGCGAGTCCAAGACGCTGGTGTCCTGCAGATGGCCAAGGGTGCGAACCGAGCCGGGTGAGAAGGCGTACAGGATGTCGGCTACGATCTCACACAGCTGGCTGTTGCGCACGCAGTACTGGAGGTTGATGTTGGTGTTTTTCGACCCGTCGGTCTGCAGGAGATCCTCCTCGGTGAGGGCCGGTTGGTCACATTCGCTGGGAGGAGTCACCAGGGGCCTCCCATATTCTAGGGCGGCCGCAACCGCACATTGGAACAGTGTCCACCACATCCTCCGGAACATGGTTCGACACGCCGGGGGCATGGCGGTGCTGGTGGCACTGGAAGCCAGGTTTCGGTGCATCCCCAGGCCAAAGGCGATGCCGGCGGCAACCGATATCCAGTAGTAGTGGTTGGCACTGACGCTGTCGGAGTTTTCCGTGTGCCATGAAAACAACAGGGCAGTCTGCACCAGGATGACTCTGTCGTTCTCGAACCGGAGGTCCCAAAGTGCCTTGGCGCGGTGGAAAAGGGCTGCTTTGAACGACGACCTTGATTCCACCACTTTGGGGTGTTGGCAAACGTGAGCACCGGCTAGAAGGATGGCCTGGTAGAGTAAAAGTGGAGGGGGCGAGTCCTTGCTCGCGCAGTGGTATCGCCATTCAGCCTCGTCCAAAATGGGGAAGATGGGGTAAATGTCACGGAAGAATGCTTCGATCAGAGCATCTCGCACCTCTTTGACTGGCAATGAATTCAGGTCCGACTCCAGGGGCGGACGGAGCCGGAGTGAGGGCAGGCTGGAGCCAATGGTCCACGACACTTCCCTGTGGACTTGGGGAATGGGGAAGTGTAGGTTGGTTTCGTCGCCACATCGTTCTTGACTGACGAGGTATGCTAGGTTGGATATCGGGGTCCCCACGTAACACATGCGAGCTTCATCGAGGCTGTCGAACCGGGACCAGGACTGGGTGCTGATGCCGTGCTGGAAGAATTCCAACAGCCCGTGCCCATTCAAGTCATCGGCGGCAGCATCATTCGACCTTGTTTCGGAGCCGGTTGGGCCAGTGACAGGCGAGCCAGCTCTGTCACATGGAGCATGTGCTTCGTCAGCCGAATCGGCCGGCCCAGACGCAGCCTGATCCTGATAGCGGCTCATAGCTCTGCCACGTTGGGTCCTGCTTTTCAAGGACAAGGCTGTCACGATATCGAATCTAAACAGTGTGGCAGGTCAACACGAGTCGGGCTATCAAGCAACATTAGATTCGGACCGACAAGGACTCACCGGCACATACTTCCATCCGACTGACAGTTGGAACATGGCTGGCAGCCGACTGCATCACAGCGGACTTTCCTGCGATGGCATGCGTCACAGGCTCGCAATTGTCTTCGCCGACGTGTCGGCTGAGCCGCACGAGGAGTCGATGTTCTGTCGACCATCTCGGACGCCATCGCCAACCCGATCATCATTGCTGTTGCTCGAGCATCAGAACCATGCCAGCATCAAAGGGTGGGCGATTAAAGAACCTCCACCCTCTTCCCTTCTCCAGCCTGGTTGGTAGATCTGTGGGTCATGGTGGCAGCCGAGCAGCCGAGGAGCCGAGAAGCCAGCCTCACTCACTGGAGCGGCCATGTCCATTCCACTGAATGACTTGTGCGTGGTGGAGCATGAGTACTGTGTGCAACGTTCTGTGATTGTCTGGCGATCTGGCGATCTGCTATAGGTCGATAACGCGCGACTCTGCTCAACGGCTCTACCGGCACCTCTATACGGGGAACAGACAGCATACGTCGGTTCCAAGGCGGGTTCGAAGGTCGCGGTTGGGACGGCCACGTCTCGATTGGTATTGCTCGATGGAATTTGTGGTGCCGCCAGCCTCTGACAAAGTCTCCTGGATGGACTCTTTAATAGACAAAACATGCCCTGAACCATCTAGGCCATGTCCTCTCGCCCTACTTTCAGTTCCAATTGTCTAGGCTCGGAGAGTGGTGGTCACCAAACAATTCCACATAGGAGATGTCCTACCAAAAGGAAAGCCGCTCTGTGCGGAGCATAGATCCTCACAGTGTGTGGCATCCTGGCCCGGTCTTTTCACAAGTCTCAACCACGACCGGTCCGGTGCGTCTCGTTGCGACATCTGGACAGGTTGGCATCGATGAAAACAACAATCTGGTCGCGGACACGGATGCCCAGATTGCGCAGGCGTTCACCAATCTCAAACGCGCTCTTGCGGCTGCCGGTGCCCAGGTAAAAGATATCTACAAGCTTGTGTGGTACGTCGTCGATTTCGACCCCAACCATCGCCTCTACCGTCCGCACTTGATCAAGTTCCTGGACGGCCACCGACCTGCCACCACGTTGGTGCCTGTCCCGTGCTTGGCGGAGCCCGGCTTTAAATTCGAGATCGAGGCGTACGCCGCCGTTCGTTTGGACCCCGCTCGGACGGTTGACGTTGTGGTAGTCGGAGCTGGATTGAGTGGTCTCAAGGCTGCCAGTGATGTGCAGAAGGCGGGGTATTCATGCCTCGTGGTCGAGGCTCGAGACAGAGTGGGCGGCAAGACGTGGTCTCACGATCCCCTCGAGAATGGCAGAAATGTGGATGTTGGTGCTGCTTGGATCAATGACACTAACCAGGCTAAGGTATACGAACTTGCAAAAGCCTTGGGAATTAGGCTGGTCCAACAGTATGTCGAAGGGGATGTGGTCCAGGAGGATATCGGGGGAGGGCTCTCGACCTTCAAATATGGCACCAGCCCGAGCGTATGCTCCCTTCCCGCGAGTCTGCAAAGTGGCCGTGTTGATACTGACCCAATTCACAGGCCCTTGCTGAACAAAATGGAGTCGAAAACATGATATACATCCGTGATTTGTTCGAGCGCACTTGCCAGACGATTGACCTTCGCAATCCCACTAGCTCAGGCAAGGACTTCGACGCCTACAGCTTGGAACAATGGGTGAAAATGCAGGGAGGGGGTGAGACAGCGCTGGCATCCGTGAGGGTTTGGACCCGCGTCATGCTCGGTCTCGAGCCCTCTGAAATCAGCACGCTCTTCTTCCTGGATTATTGCAAAAGTGGTGGCGGGTTGATGCAGATGCGGTCCGACAGAAAGAACGGAGGCCAATACTACAAATTGGCCCAAGGTAAGTAATGTCCCTGCAAAGAGCTCATGAAACCTGCACCCCCGGACTCAACAAGGTGAAGCTGATAAAGTCCAGGCACTCAAGCCTTGTCTGTTGGACTCGCGGAGTCCCTCGCTCCGGGATCCATCATCTTGAACTCCCCCGTCCGCCGGATCGAACAAACCCCGGAATCAATCCTCGTGTCGGCCGGGAGGGGTGAGATTCATTGTCGACGGGTCATTGTTTCCGTGCCGACGCCCTTGTATAAAGAAATCACGTTCGAGCCTCCGCTGCCAAAGGCGAAAGAACAACTTAGTCAAGCCAATAAGCTAGGCTGTACCTTCAAGGTGATGCTTCTTTACGCCCAGCCTTGGTGGAGAGGCAGTGGACTCTGCGGTATGGTTCAATCTTTCCAAGGGCCCGTGTGCGTCACTCGCGACTCAAGTATTGAAGAGACGGGCAACTATACCTTGACGTGCTTCGTCGGAGGCCAACCAGGTCGGAGCCTACTGACCCTGACACAAAAGGAGCGCCACGATGCTGTGCTCTCCCATGTCAGACGACTCTTTTGTCCCTTCACCAAAACCGTCCCCGAGCCCCTGGCTGTTACGGACCACCTGTGGATTCAAGATCAGTGGTCTCAGGGCTGCCCTTGTCCGGCCGCACCGCCCGGGGCGATGACGAACTACGGCCATGCCTTGAGAACTCCTCACCTACGGGCCCATTTTGTGGGAACCGAGACGGCTTTCGAGTGGAAAGGCTACCTGGACGGAGCTGTCAGGTCGGGCGAAAGAGGGGCGAAAGAGGTGATCCAGGCTCTTAGCAAGTCGAGACTATGAGTGTAATTGATTTTCGCAAGTACGGCCGCTGCGCCATTGTCCTTGTATAGACCTATTCAAATCCAAATCTTCGAAGCAGAGTCAAATACTTCCATAGCATACACCCGGAGCCTCGTTCCAAGGCCATCCAAAACCTGAATATGGATGCCGCTCACCCGGACTGGCGAGAGACATATTTTCTCTTTGCTGGAGTGCAAATCGCGGTGCGCCTTGGAGGGAGTTGTCGGAATACTTCTTCAACCCCTTTCCTTTCGACAAAATGCCGAGCTATCTCGCCAATTGGTAGCTAGTTTTGGGCACTAACACACTACAGTGAATAAGGACACCTGCTAGATGTTCTCTGATACCCGTAACTCTTCCCATTATAAAGATCACCGCAGAGCTCGACGGAGCGTTTATGGTTTCGTCTGTTCCCTTCTGAAGAACTCCCTGATGACATTGCCGGTAAGCCTGGCGACGTTGTTCCGATAGTCGTCCCACCCCAAGGACGGGTACCAGTTGATACTCCCCACCGAGAAAACCGCTCCTCCACCATCGGTCTCGTAGTACACCATGTCCGAGCGGATCTCGTTCGTCTCCGTCCCACGAGTCGCGAGAATCGGGTAGGCGACGCACTCAGACGCGATCCCGAATCCGTCGGGGTGGCCGGTCGAGGTCGCCACCACGACGGCGTTCCGGGGACTGCCCTGCGCGAGGTCGAAGCTGTCCATCTCGTCTCCGCTGGCGCCGCCGCCCAGGCCGAATACACCTATCAATTCCCCGTCTGACATTCCGTCGAACATCCAGGAGAACCGCGCGTCCTTGCCCGCCTCTGTTCTCTTGTACGGCACCCCCGGCGGTCTCCCCTGGGAGCAAAAGGCCACTCCGAACAGTGCGTGCGAGGAACGACCCCGGGCCCTCCACAACGTGCCATATCGGCCGTCCAGGCTGAGATGGCGCTCGCCAGGCTCCATCGAGTAGCTGCGAACACCTTCCTCGCCTCGTCGAACTTCCACGCGCCATGGACGGGCCGGATCCAAGGCGGTGACCCAGTAGAACCCATTACCGCCCAGATACATCAAGTTGCCGCCTCGTTTCGCGTAATTTTCGTAGGCGTCGTAAATCTCGAAGCTCAGATACTCCGGGTGCCCGCCGGTTATGACGGTGTTGTAGGGCGTGAGGGCCGACGCCCCATATTGATGGAGGTCGTGGTCGGTGATAGTCTCATAGGGAATGTTTTCACGCTCGAGGTATCCGATCATCATTGACTCGGCGCTGAGGTGGCGCGGGCGCGCCAAGCCGTAAGAGATGAATCCGGGCCTGAAATTCGTGATGGGGCGCTTTGCCGTGGAGAAGACGGTCCCAGAGAGATCGTTGTGCGTGTCGTAGGTAGACAGCCCGATATCCCATCGTCTGAGTTGCCTGTTCATGTCCTCGGACGAATAGGGAGTAGATTCGCACAGCGCCGCGCCGGTCGCGTTGGAAGAGGGCCTGTTGGGATCTGAGAGCTTGTCGTTGGCATATGCAAGGTAGGTAAATGTCGACAGAACCAAGCCCACCTTGGGTTTCCCAGGGTCCCGCTGAGATCTTTCTGCCGTCGTGCGGACTATGAAAGTGATCATGTCCGAGGTCTTACCATTCGTGGACTCGACTTCGACGGCATATATGCCGGAGCGGAGATCAGAGGGCAGTGCTACCGTGAGATCAGTCTCCCATTTGGCATCGTCCAGATCATCTTCGTGGAAGTGGATAGCACCATAGCCATATTTTGCGTTGGTCCAGTCGATCTCGGAAGCATCCCAATTGTATCCTCGAACCCCTCTCGTCGGGGCATTAATGAGTAGTCCATGGTGACCGCCCCCAGACGTGTCGATTATTGAGTCTCCGGAGATATTGCGAGCAAAATCGTACTGGACGATTACACGGCCTTCAGGTCCTACCGCCGTGATCGAAGGGCTGTCGATCCGACCATTGAAGAAATGTGTGGCTCGAGGACTTTGAACACTCACACTCTCGGCGAAAGTCCCGGCAAATAGCAGAGCACAGTCAGGTGAGATGTTGAAATCATGGGGCAAAGACGCCTCGTAGTGCATGGCTGAAGTTCTCTTTTCAACGGCATGTGGGACCGGCTCTAGGTACAAAGAAACACGCATCCCTTTGATGTCCAACTTTGCATGCACCCATCGTTTCCTTGAGGGTTTGAATGTTGTCAAGAATACC